TTTGATATCCTCGGAAGTTGACTGTATTAAACATTCATTAAGATATTTATATATAGCACTAACGTGTTAACTAGAAACCTCCGTTGAAGATTCGACATACCATGTGGTAGCGTGGCCGAGCGGTCTAAGGCGCTGGTTTAAGGCACCAGTCTCTTCGGGGGCGTGGGTTCGAATCCCACCGCTGCCAAGTTTTTTTTACAACATATGCACTTTATATTTATAAGATCACAATGATATGTATGATGTGTAAGGTAAATGAGAAATTTTTTAATAATAATTTAAAGTAACGTTCATTTAGTTGTATAACACATCACTGATTATTAGTTTTTCACGAATATATATTTCATAAGAAGAAATCTTTATTATCAGCAAATACGTTATCTACCGTAGATCATTTATCATGAATTTGTTGATATACAAATTTATTTATTTATGGAATATTTTTATCCAATATGTAGTTTAGAAGTTACTTTATAAAACAGTAATATACTGCAATTATTTTTTAATTCTGATTCATTTTACGCTTTATATCCTAGACAATAGACAGAATAGACTAGACATCTTATGAACTTCGTATCCAATGATTTGAAAAATTTAATATTGAAACAAGAAAATGAAAAAGAACACATTTTGTACTTATTTATTTATTTGTATTTATTTGTACTCTGTTAGTAAGGTTGTAAGTGACGTTAGAATGGTAAGGGGGGTTTCGTCACCGACGAGGTGTTGATAAAGTAGGAAATCATTATCATTATTAACGAAATCATTTTAGTGATTTATAATAATATCAGTATTTAAATATATTTTCATACATTTATCTATCAAATGTATGTGTACAACATATAAGATTTTCCAGTTCAGTACAATCTAATTAAAGACAATTATACCAAGAGGAAGCTATAGGAAGAGAAAACTATGGAAACATATTACAAAGAGGAATAATATTTTTTATTACAATTTTTATTACAATTTATTATACAAATTATTAAATATTTATTTACAATTTTTTAAAGTGCGCTATATATGCACAATCAGTTAATAATAAATTATTATTTACAAAGTGACAATTATTTTATATATAATTACATTTTAGATAGTTATGTACCGTATTGCACTACAAATATCTCGTAGTCTATTAAAGTGGAACGAGCTCAAAGTTCAATCCGAGTCCGGTTAAAATTGAATCATCATTCCTAGAGAGTTCTATCCTCGAAAATCTCCTATAGAGGTCTCAACGCTTCTAAGAAAAATAAATTCAAAAAACTTAGTATCTAACCGCTATAACATTATATAGTAAAGTACCTTCTGATGTTAAGTGTAAGAAAATTCCTCGCTAACAATGATGATATTTGCAATCATGTGTATTCAGACGAACGTCTTAATCAGTGATTCAGTAGTAATTTCAAGAAGCCCATACATTCTACGATGTATATTCGGTTAACATCGTAAACGGTATCGATCCTTATCTCTAGATCATTCACAAGAAGCGTCTGATCATTTTTTGCTGTAATCGTGACTGAACACACGTGCACTCTGGAACGAATGCGCATACTTATGTAAATATCTACATATACACGTACACACACATGTATTCAGATTAGTACAAGTTTGTCTGGTTCAGCGAATGTATTGAACTTATTCAATGGGAGGAAACATTTAAACATTCAAAATAAAAAGAAGCAATTTTTCATTTTCCTTTATGAAAAACTATGTTTACAAACGAGAAAGTTGTTCAGATATCAACGTGGGAAATAATTAAATTACATTTTCTTTCTTTTGTGTGCGGTTTATATTTAATAATAAAACGATTTCTGAAATGGGCTTGGAATCCGAAAAAGTTTTTCACGATGCAACAACGGGACAAACCTCCGCCGTGTTTAGTTGACAACAACTTAGGAACGCATTCTTACGTTAAAATCAAGGTAAGATGTAAATGATTGTTTCAGTAATTTTTTAAAATATGTGACACAATATTAAACTTTGTTTTGACAGTAATCCAAAAATACTGTAAGAACATTCGACCTCTGATAAACTCTTTACGACGCAAACTGACTTATGCACACGTCCGATTTCGATCGGTAAAACTGATCGCAACATGTATATTTTTTTTATATATATACATGCTGTGAACTGTTACATCGATTTTCTTTTACTTTGATAGTAACTATTATAAAGTTCAAATTTTTTGTTCCACTTTCAACAAAATTTAAACAGAAAATTAATATAATAAAAAAAAACTTAAATTATTCATTTTAATCAGCATAATAACTTCAGAAATTTTTAACATAAAATTTACATTTAAATTTAATAATATTTATAATGTTATTAAGTAATAACTTTTTGCAAATAAGCAGAGAATAATAGTTCATGATAAAAATCAAGTATAATTTATTTCTTGTTTAGGGTGTAAAGTTTCATTATGTAGAAGCTGGAAATAAGGATAAACCACTTATACTACTTTTGCATGGGTTCCCTGACTGTTGGTTGTCTTGGAGGGAACAAATACCATGCCTTGCTGAACATTACAGGTATAATTTCATGTTTAGACAAATATGTATAATTATTGAAGTATTTATATTCAATGACATAATTGTGTTCTTAAGGGTAATAGCAATAGATCTAAAAGGATTTGGTGACAGTGATAAACCATCAACCAAACGTTCCTATAAACTTGAAATATTAATAGAAGAACTGAAACAATTTATTTTAACACTTGGAGTGAAACAGTGCAGTATAATTGGCCACGATCTTGGTGGACTGTTAGGATGGTACATGGTAGCTTTATATGAGGATATGATTTATAAGTTTGTTGCAATTTCCTGCCCCCATCCCAATTTTTACTGGAATAGATTACCTGGGGACTCTGTGTTCGATTCAAAGTATATACAATATGTAAACAAATATTTTTTTATTGTTTCATCAGTTATATAAGTTTTTCATTAATCTTACTCTATAGGTGGATACACTTCAGTAGATTACCATTCCTTCCTGAAATAGATGCTCTTAAAGAAGATTTATCTATTATAAATGATACTTTCCAACATCTTCTAGTAAACAAAACAAGTACTGAACAAAATTATGTAGAAGCATATAAGTATGCATTTAGTAGAAAAGGTAAATATTGATAAAGTGTGAACCAATATCTGTTTAAATACATAGATGATGATAAACATTTCTTTCTATAGAGGACTGGACAGGTGCGATTAACTATTATAGAAATCTTCCTTTCATAAGACTGAATACAGAATCTAATGCACAGATTTATACTAAGACATTACTTATAACTGGAAACATGGATCCACTTGTAACAATAGAAAATATTATACAAAGTTCTGAATATGTTGAAAAATTTAACGTGAAAGTCATTTCTGGAGCACAACATTTTCCACACCAACAAAAACCAGACATAGTAAATGAAGCCATTTTGAAGTTTTTTATAGGTAACTTATTTACATGATATAATTACATTATACACTTTCAGAAAAATAGTCAGTAAGTTATATTTCAGGTACAATAAGTACTACAGAAAAAACACCACCCAAAAGTATGATGACTTCCTGGTGGGGATCTTTAAGTAATACTGTCAAATATGGCAATCATGTAATTGATACTGTTCATAGAAAAACAAGTGGTGTAGTCCATGGTTTCCCTAGTAAAGTATTTTACATGGGTCAAACTACGAATTAAGTCAAATTTAAGAAACAGCGAAGTTTCTAATATACAAGCATTTACCGTCTTCCACATATACCTCCTTGGTTACTTCCAATGATATAATTATTATTTATTTTTATATGTGTGCATGCTTTAAACATAAGATATTTTACTAGAAAGAAATCTTATTTTTTTATATGAACAAATCAGATAACTATTAGTATATATATATACTTACAGAGTACAAATAAATACAAATAAATAAATAAGTACATAATGTGTTCTTTTTCATATTCTTGTTTCAATATTAAATTTTTCAAATCATTGGATACGAAGTTCATAAGATGTCTAGTCTATTCTGTCTATTGTCTAGGATGTAAAGCGTAAAATGAATCAGAATTAAAAAATAATTGCAGTATATTACTGTTTTATAAAGTAATATATATAGTAGTGCATAATATTTAGCTTTAGTATTAAATTATATAAAGATCTGTCTTTCAATAGAACAAAGCAATATACATAATAAAAACAGTTTTTAGTGAGGCAAGCATAAAATGATTTCTTAGAAATACTTACATGTTTAATAATACTGTAAATACCCTTATCTAAAAAATATGAGGAATAGATGGTTACATAAATTATAAAAACAGACTTCATGTTTTGTATAGTGTAATATTAGAATAAATCTGATATTCGAAATTTGATCTTTAAATAAGTCTTTTATATTTACAAAATTCTTTCGTTCTTCAATCCAAATATCATTTCGATGTATTCTCTCTATTCTTTTTCCTATAACACATAAGGATATTTGTGACATTCTGTCTCAAACTATCATCATTTTAACTATCTTTATTGCTCATACTCACTTTCCAAAATTTTCACCATCTTCGATAGTTTCAGGTAATATGCAATTCATTGTTTCTGGTAAAAGTAAGCATAACGCAGCACCGAGTAATGGTCCAATACCAAATATCACTGGTGGTAACCAAGGTTTAATTTTTCCCTAAAAATAAATAACATGATTCAATACATATTAACATGTTTCATAAACAGCTGGTACTAGAAGTACATAGGCAGCTCACCATAGTTGCAATATAAGGTGCAATCATGCTCCCAGTTCTTGCACAAACACTTCCTAATCCAATACCTACGTTTCTAATTACGGTAGGAAACACCTCGCTACTGTATAGATATACAGTTGGAAAACTAATTGCCATTCCTGCGAGACCTAAATTAGTTAAACATATTGTAAGAGTCGAATTTGATATCACAGTCAATAAAATCAGGCTTATGCCTGACAAAAGATTGCCACTTATCAAAATCCTTAAACGGGATACACGCGATATCAAGACAAGGACTACTATAGTTCCAGGCAATTCAACAACAGCTGAAAAAAGAGATGGATTTTTAACATGTATAATCACTTTATAATATAGATTTACCTTTAAAATATATTTTCTTGGATTAATGATATTTTCTTAATTAAATAGAAGTAAATAATTTACCTGACACAGCAACATTTACAAAAATATTGCCATCGAGATAACCCATATACTGCGCCAATCCAAAGAAACAACTACCGCAAACAAACCAATTAATACATATACAAATTGTTTTCAGTCTTAGATTTGGTGTCCTAAACAAATGCGTAATATTGTATGTCTTTTCATTTTCTTTGTGTTTAATTCTTGCATTAGTTTCATATGTCTCAATTGCTGTTTTAACATTTTCCACAGGTATTTTATTTCTGCCAGCTGCTTTGACTAAGATTTGTTCTGCCTTTGATAGTTTACCTACAGCAAGTAACCATCTTGGCGATTCAGGAATAATCCTATAATGAATTAAGTATAATTAATCTGTATTCAATGACGAACTGTGAAAGCTAATAATAAGGAAATGTTTTGAAATATCGATTATATTAATATGATTACTGTTACATACCAGTAATATGATAGCAAGAAAATTGAAGGTATAGAAATTGCCATTTGGAACCCATCCCATGTACGCGTTAAGTATGAGATCAAAGGATTCATTAAATGACCCAACAAGAATGGAACATGAAAGAGTACCGACATAATCGAGCGCCATTCAACTCCTACAATCTCCATAACTGGAATTCACATAAAAACGTATTTTGAAACATTAAAACCAGTGGTACTCTTATAACACAAATTTATTACTTACGTAAAACAAAACTGATGAGCATAGTACCACCAGTAGCTATAGCAGATATAAATTTAAATATTAAAAATAGTTCATACCAAGGGACAAATGCACTAATAAATCCAGTTAATGATTGTAATCCTATCGCAATCATTAATGGTCTTTTCCTGCCAATTCTGAAAAAATGACTTAATCTATTTAATGTGTCACTTTATACCAAACAACTATCATAGTAACCCTTTTTCTACCGTTTTATTATTCCAAATGTATGTATATATATTTTTTTATTAATTTATAATAACATATAGCTTACCTATCAGCCATTATACTGAATACTAAATTACCTATGAGCACCCCAAGCATTGTACAAGTCTGCACAAAATTTGCTAATTGTTCTCTGTCGCAGACCAAATCCCACTGAGAAAAATGTAATTTAATATTTCAAGTTGCATTTATCAACATATAAGATTGAAGCAATATAAAAGACTAAAAAAATTGAGCTCACTTGAGTTATAATGCTTTCTTTAAATATGCGTTTGTCGTATTTAAAACTAGTACATTTTTCCATAGTACCATTTCCGGTATCTACATAGCATTTCATTATTGTGGACTCATTGGTTGTAGATATTGGTGCAGCACATGAAAAATTAGTTGGTGGTGCAAGAAATACAATTGATAGTTGATGCCAAGCAATTGGAAATTTTACAAGAGATAATGCCACAGCAATCACAATGTGCCATGGACCCATAACACCCATCGCATTTTGTATGACATCCATGGATGCATGTTCTGGAAACATTCTTCTGTTTAATTTACACAAAATTTACCCATACGAGAATTTCATGTTGCAAAGTACTGGTAATTCAAACCATTCAGTGTTTTCAATTATTTTTATATTATTTGGATAATAATGTAACACTTTAGAAACTTGCTATAAAATAATTATGATATTTAAATTAATTGAAAACACAATAGGAAAAATACATACATCATTTTATTTAATAAATATATTTTAATATATTTTTTATTAAAAGAATAAAACATACTTAAAGAAACACTTGCTAGAAAATTATTTTTCAAAAGCATAATTTTACACATATTTGTTTCGCCCGTAAGCAATAATATGATATTTCTTACAAGTTGCAGCTTTAAAAAAAATAAATGTAGGAATACTTAACTTACTGACATTTGAACAGTGGAAGCAAAACAATCATTTGAAAAATATAGATAAGTTTAATACAGGTCTGTAACTAAAACTTTAACTAAGAATTATAAATTACTGATACAATTCTTGGCATTTGAAAATAGCTGAGTATTATGTACTAATAGTACTAAAAGTAGTACTAAAATGTACAATCTAACAAATAAATAATTTCAGTTTCTTGCATTGTGCGCGCTCTCTTATTGAAAATTTATTATTGGAAGTTATCACATTTCCAAAAATTTAGTTGATTTTTAAATAAAAAATCATAATTATTAATTTCATTATTTTTTTAACTCTGTCAGCAAAGTTTCAATCGGTGTTTCGCATGCGTATCGAGATGATGTAATAAGAAGCGCGGTTAGCACCGCAAACTTGAATGTATAATTAGATTTGATCCGCTTTTGAAAACTAATACGAATAAATGTAGAACTATGCTAAGTATATCAACTTACCTTTCATCGCCCTTTCAAGCATTATATCCAAGTACTTATTTTATGACTTTATTTTAATCTGATCAGTTATTATCACCACAAAATGAACTCCGTTCCTGAGTACTGAGAAATCTCTGCTACTTTTACGTTAAGCGATTTAAGCGAACTAAAACGAGTTAGTCCATTCTCTTTATCTGTTTTATCGATGTGTCATGACCCATCTCAGATAGAGCGCAAAATACTTTAAAAAATATCTACTTTATCGATCAATTTAACAACAGCATTTTTTAGCTTTTTTAATGTAGTATTTTTAATTGTAATTCTGATGATAGGGCGTACTGTTAAATTATAAATGTGTTAAAAGACCGTATTATTTATTTATATAACGTAGTAAAAACAACCGAATAGCGCGAAATAATAAATAATCCTAATTACATAAAAGATATAAAAATTTTGTTTTATGAAATAACGTTCAAACAAACGCAAATGAGCTTAGTACTTTACTCGAAGCACGTTTAGGTTTATTTTGTTCATCATCAGAGCTTAACTTTCTTTTCCTTGATTCTGAAGACTCTGTAACATCGTCATTTGGCGGAGGTTCAACCTTCGACTTATACCTTGTTAAAGCTGTTTTTGTTAAATCAGCAGGACTTAACTCTGGAAATTCTTCTTGCAAACTTTTCTTGTTTTTAGCATACCAACTAATAAATGTCTCTTTTTTTGGTCCATCTTTTGTTTCCTTTGACTTTAATTTGGAAGGAGCGGATGATGGTACTGATAACTTTTGCGGTTTTTCTGGAGTAATATCCAATAAAGCCAATCCTATATGTTAAAACAAATTTGATTCAAGTATTATTATAAAAATTAAGGTATAGTTCGAGGTATAATATCAAATCATAATACCTTTGGTTGCAGGTGAGTTTCCACTTTTCAAGAATGGATTATTTCTTTTCATCGATAATGCTTCACTCATAGACAAAGGTTTAATTTGTACCTCTGCTTCTTTTTGCACTGTTAATGCAATTGTGGATTCTTCAATCTCATCATTTTGGATTTCTTCGTCACTTTTGCCTTCTTCTATATCATTATCTCTACTTTTTTTCTCTTCTTGATCCTGGTCCCGTTTTTCTTCTCTTATATCAGCAATAGACTCTAATTTATTTGACAGAGCCATTCGGTTTATTCTTCTTGCATATTTAATTGCTAATTCTATGACTTTCTCAGAAGCAATTTGTTCACACAGTTCCACTGCTCGATATTCCAAATTATTTCGACAAGCAAGCTAATTAAATAAAATTAATCAATGTAAGTGTTTATTTAACTCTTGATCATAAATACGAAATCATATATACCGCAAATAGTGCCAGCACTGCTTCATTTTCTTCTATGGGATTGCTTCCCAATTTCCATAGTTTCAATTCTTTTTCAGACTTTTCGCTCTCAGGTTCGCACACCGGAGGAACTAAAGATACTTCTGTTATTACAGGGCGAGGAGTTGTTGGTGGATAATGACTTCCTTTGCATAAAACACAGCGGGCAATACTTTGCTGTTCGCTGATCCCAATAATGAAATAATGATCAGCTCTGCCCTTAGACTGTTCAAATTTGTATTAGTTAAATATATTGTAATATATAATATAATAAATAATATGAACATATAAACTCTGGCTATTTAAAAAAGTTCAGTTTTATAAACTAATTTGTAAAAATAAAAATTGATCATATGTATATCTTCCCTACTTGGTTACTGTTCAATTAGAAATAAAATAAACACTTTTTACAAATTTTCGTATACGTACAGTTATATAATGTAATAAACATACAAGTACCTGTCTATTTAAATCGCTAGCAACTTTCCATAGAGATGATTTTTTGTTATACACTCTAATGATATCATCAGTATCCATAATAACAGGAGACCCAAGATCAGTAAGTCCTATCCACATAAGTTCTGATGAAGGAGACAGTGGAAGAGATAATTTTCGACTGTATAAAGTTAAGCCACGAATTTGAATCCATAGTAGACTCATATTCTGATCACCCGAAGCACCTATTTTAATATTTTTATTATATTACAAAATCATCTGAAAATAGGCAAAGGAAGGAGTGATAAGTAGTAAATAAAGTGTACCTATTCCACTATGATAAGCAATTACTAGAGCATTGTTAAGGGCATTCATTGCAACTACTGGACCCGATAAAGATATAATTTCACGTTGTGTGCCTCCTACTGTAAAAATTCTTAAATTCCTTTTTGACGTTGAAAGTGCAACAAAAGTATCACCAGCAGCAATACAATGTCCTTCTTCATCTTCAGGAAGATCCAAAAACCATTCTTTGTTTCCAGAACCCCAGCCTATTTTTAAATTGCAATAATGTTTGATTATATCTAAATTATAATACTTATTCTTTTTATGTTTAGCATATAATACTCACCCTGTAATGCTATTACAACAAGTTTACTTCGTGTATCGCTACTTGACGGACAATTTAATGCAAGTGCATATGGCGATAAGGCTGCTATAGTATGCCTTAAATAATTATTAATGTGCATGCTGCGATGAATTGTAACATCATGAAATTCAACTTCAATACCAGATTCATCCCCATCTTCTGCAGTAAAACATCTTACCATACCAGTATCATTCCAAACCTATATACATATGTATTCATGCGCATACACATATTTCTGTATTCTTGTGTAATATTATTAAAACTATTATTTAAATTATATTTTAATATTTATTACCATAAAACGAGATAATAAATGTGCTGGAGATGAACCAGGTTGAAATGGTGGTTGTAAATTAATTTCAGGTGTAAAATCAGTTGCCTCCTGTGGTTTCACAGATTCTACATCAGAATGGCTTTTTTCATCATCTTCAAAACCCACAGATGCTTTAATATTATTTAAAGATATAATATTTTCCCCGTCAACATCTTCTTCATCTGGCAGGTAGACTCCATTGTCTTTCACATCTCCATTTGCTTCTATCTTTTCTTCACCACCATCAGGTTTCTCACAGAATATCTATACAAATAAAAAGGATAGAAATTATTTCTAACACTAAAAATTATATGCATAAATATATTTACCACATCAATGCATCCTAATTGACCTAAATGATCACAAAATGCAATTTCATCCGATTCATCTAGACTCCAAGACAGTGATGTAATTTTAGCATTTTGCTGATGTTCAATATAGCCAATCAAATCTTTTGTTCTTACATTCCAAACAATTATTTCTCCATTTATAGTGCTAGCAGCTACAAATGCACCACATTCAGAAAATTTGCAAATACTAATTTCCTGTATTGCGAATAATGACATTAAAAAATATTACATGAGTTTACTAAAATATAAAATTTAAATTAATAACGTACACTTTTTATATTAATGCATTTTAAATGAAACAATTCTTTCCAAGAAGATCTTTCTACTATAACTATATCTTTTATATGTGGGTATGCTAAGTAACCTCCATCTTTAGTTTCAAAGGACGGGACACAATATGCTTTTGCTGTAAAAAATGAATTACATTTGGGTACAATATTATTCCAAATATTAACAACACATTTTTCCTTAATATTCCACACTCTTATTGATCCATCTGCGCTTGACGATGCCTAAATACAAAATTACATTATATGATTAACTGTTGTTACTGCTTAGAAAATGTAAACTAGGCAAAAATTTAAATTAATTATAAAATGTACTTTACCACAAATTCTTCTTTAGGATCCAATGATAAACCTAATATTGGAGCTTCATGACCAAAAAGCTCTATATTATTCGATGTATTAATATCAGTGACGTGTATTCTCATATCGCTTTAATAATATTATATGAGTTAATACATGAATTTTTATATCAATATATGACTGTAATAAATAAAAAATATATATATATATATATATATATACATCACATACCATGATCCTGATACTATAATGTTACTATTTTTTGTTGTTGCTAATGCAGACACAGGTGCTGAATATCTGGTAACTATTCCTTCCTTTTCAAGATCCGGATAGTTAAGTATTTGAACTGTGTTATTATCATTACCAACAAATATTTTTCCATTCTGAAATAACACACTTATGAACAATAATTTACTGTTAAAAATCTAGTGTCATATGAAAAAAGTTATAATTATCAATTAACATGAAAAATATACTTTAATGTTCATAATATTTGTATCTTACTATCATACCTTTGATATCACAGATATAGCTTGTTCTGAAACACAACTTGCGGATGGGTCATCATCCATTAAATTTAACCAGGATCTAACATCTCCATCAGATCCACAAGTAATAAGGCCTCTCCTAAGTTACAAAATATATTATTTTTTAATTTAAGTATATAAATTTTTACCTTTCAAATAAACGTCTTGAAGCTCTTAAAAAGTTTTTAGCTTAATACAAGAAAGATCTCATTAAAGACTTTTAAAATAAATCCTATTATACATTAAATACTTTATTTAATATAATGGAAAAGATAATCTTTAAAATATTTGTTAATGATTTAAGTTAAAATTTGTCAAATGTTATTTACCTTTCTCCTGTAAAATAACAAACATCCGTATGTCCTTCTGGGTGTGCATAACGCATAGGTTTTTTGATCAATGGCATTTTTTAATATATTTCTACAAAACGTTTTTCTCTAAGTAACTCAGTAAAATCCTTATTGCAAACTTGCGCCCCTTTGTATATATTCTTTGGCGCGCATTCTTGATCATTGATTCGATCAAATATATTATTCGCGTATTATGTATATATACATGTACTAAAATTTATTGAGTTTTCAATCGTTTTCATCGTAATTATGTATTTATTACATAAAATATATAAATTATTAATATGTTATTGTAGTTTATCACATTTTAAGCAAGCATAATCAATAACACATACTAATATCAACCAATAGAAAAATATAGTAAATGTATAATAAATTTGTATGAAAGTGTACAAAGTTTAATTTAAACAAATTATTTAAATAAAGTATAAATATTTAATTTTATAAAATAAAATTGTAAAATTCTTCTAAAAATATTCCATCTAGGGAATTTCATAGTATTATAGCATCATTCTGGAGCACATGATCAAATTCTTCTTCTGCTACTCAGTTCTGTGCATTTGATAGCAGACGCAGCCTTTTCTAGGGTGGCCGAAGGTGCAATGAGGAGTTTATAAATTTCGTCATTATAAGATTTAAATTTATATGTTAGAATGACCATGATCTCAAAGACTGCAATGGGTATTGCCGTTGGCATAGCTGGAATATTCGTTGGATATTGCTATTATTTCGATCAGAAGCGTCGTAGTGATCCAGATTTCAAAAAGAAATTGCGTGAACGTAAGTGAAGCTATAATCTTCTTTCTCGTTAGAAATATATTTGAACCATGTGCATGTATGTACATATTACTTTTATACAAAAACAATTGCGGTGTTTTTATTTGAATGGTTGCTACTACAAATTGAACAATTTTTCTCATAACATCACGTTTTTATTCAATTAGATTTTGCATTTCCAATACTTAGTGTTTCAAAATTTAATATTGGTTATATTAACTTATAATTTATAAATTTAATAAACTGTGTACTCTATATAAGAAAAATAATATTAGTATTTTATATTTATAGGGAGAAAGGCTAAAAAGCAGTCTCAGAGAGAAAGTCAGGAGTATTCAAGAATTCCTTACTTGAAAGATCAAGAAGATGTACAAAGATTTTTCATACACGAAGTCAGTATAAAATATTTTATTTTGATTATCATAGATGATTTTATATTTAATAACTTATGGTATTTAAATACAATAAAAATGTTCCACAGGTTCAACTTGGAGAAGAAAAGCTTACGTACGGTGATGTGGATGGTGGAATTGTACATTTAGCAAATGCTGTATCAGTCTGTGGACAACCAACACAATTATTACAAGTTCTTCAAAAGACACTGCCACCACAAGTATTTTCTCTTTTGTTACAACGATTACCTGCAGTTGGTCAAGCACTTAGTCAGGTATGTAATCTCATTTATTAAATTAAGAAAAGAATGTAGGAAAATTTGGTTTTTTTACTTATTGTTACAGAAGTTAGTACCTCAATCTGCAATGGCTGAGGAAGATGTTGAATAAAACAATATATAAATTGCGTTGAGTATTTCAAAATAAAATCTAACCATTAGTAGAAAGTGTATCCTTTTTTTTGATAATGTAGACATTTGTGTGGCTTCAATTTGGTCAATCCTCTTAAATGTACATCGTGTTCTCCTTAATTGAACTTCCATACTCCTTAATAATTGTACATCAATTAAAAATATAACATTTATATGCATTTAAAGTTGCAATGGACATAACTTTTGTATTATTTTGTTAAAATATAAAGTCTTCGTTGAGAAATTACATATTAATTATTTGAATATTTTGACTGCCACAATGATTACTCATAATATGCTAATGAAGTACATATTTTAGTTGACATGGCAGCTAAATATATATGTATTCACACGCATATATATATATATATATATAATGCACGTAGAATATAGAGATTTCTATTCACACATAGTCTAATGGCTTTATATTGTATAATTGCAATAAGCTGATCACATTAAGGATTTCATAAATTCACAGAAATACAAAAATCTAACAACTAATTAAGGAGTATAACAATTACTTCAACATTAGAAAATTAACAATGAATTTTATTTTAGGGAGATGTTAAAACAAATTTACACATTAGTTATATAGAACATTTACTCCTGTAATAAGGAATTCATGTAAAATGTGATCTTAAAATCATGTACTTCTCTTCTGGATGCATTTACAGATGGTTACAATGAATACATATATTTTATAGGGGGTTTGCACAAATCTATGCAAATATGTAATCTACCTTGTGAATATAAAATTTATATTGTAATAGATGTATCATCTTAAGCATAGATAACATGACATTATTTTCAATGGTACTCACTAGCGTACAAAAACACTTTATAATTATTTTTTGTATAAAAAAAATATTCTATTCTTATAAAACTAAGAGCAATTAAACAAATTAAGCAAAAGTCATAGTGTCTAACAAGTAAAAATGTACTTTGTAGCAGGAACTATACGGCGTCGATTAAAGCGACTTGGCCGTGCTACGAAGAACTTTATGTTCGCGTTCACTTCGTTGATGATGATTCTCGCGGGATGGGCCGCGCCGGGGATCTTGAATTGGAAGCTAATTCTACGCCATGCTAAGTATGTGCGTCAAACTTTGTGTCCTTAGAACGGTCAGGCGGCTTTTATTGAACAATATCTTCCAAAGAACGGCAAGCCAGTTAAAACTAAAGAACTTCAAAGAAACAACCCCCTTATTTCCTGGCGCGGACTATAGAGAAGGGCTTTTTGGCTGCTTCTTACCTCGCGTGAATTTTCGCATCTAATAGGTGCGCTCCAGGTACCGTGCTAAAGCATCTCCGACGCCAAAGTTAATCTACGATGGTAACAAATCTGTCGTTTACCTGTTGCGTGCCACAGTTTGATGAAATCTGTATCATGCGAAAACCAATTAAATGTTACTAATAAAAAAAAAATTCA